GTTGGGGCATTTAGGAAAGCAATATCTACACCGACAACTACATTTTACATCTACACCTGCATCTACATCTACGTCAGCATCAACAGCGAGACCCACATCTACATCTACATCTACACCTGCATCTGCACCTACATAACCTCATGCCCGTGAGAATAAACACTAGGGGATAATACAGTTCGGGGTTCAGGGAGAGATAATAAAAGTAGCCCAGCAGACCTCAGCATAATCTCGAAGTAAGAGATGATCAAGAGGAGACCAAGCCGAGCACGTTTTGAGACATCCTTGGCGTTTAGTTTTTCATAAAAGCAGGAGAGGAAGGAGAGGAGGAGAGGAAAGGGATAATACAGGAGAGGAGCAAGAGGAGAAAGATAGAGAAACAGAGAGAAAGGAATAATACATAGAGGAAATACCGAAAAACACATGTTTCATATTTTCCCTGGATAATCAACCCCAGGGATAATCAAGTTCAGGCGAGCGTGGGGAGATATAGAAATATAAAAGAAGAAGAGGAGAGTAGAAGAAGAATACGAGGAGAAGAAGAGAAGAATAATGAGGAAAAAGAAGAGAAGAAGAATATAAGAAGATAACACAAATAAAAAAAAACAAGTTTCGAATGTATTAGATTTTATTTACAAACGCTTTGTGAAAATTGATGTTTTTAAGTGCTCGTGTAGGGTAGCTCATGTACCTCACTTTCCCTGGATAATCAACCCCAGGGATAATCAAGTTCAGGCGAGCGTGGGGAGATATAGAAATATGAAAGAAGAACAGGAGAGTAAACGAATAATAAGATGAGAAGGAAAGAAGAAGAATAATGAAGAAGAAGAGACGAATAAGAAGAGAAAAAGAAAACAAAAATAAAACACGTCTCGAATGTATTAGATTTTATGTACAAGCGCTTCGCTTGATGTTGTTTCGCTTGATGTTGCTTCGCTTGATGTCGCTTGAGTAACACATCCTGAAAAGTGTGATCGCTTCGCTTGATGTTGCTATATCAACATCGCTTGATGTTGCTATCTCAACATAGCGTTTCGAGGTGATGATGAAGTTCGGCCTCAGCGCTCGCCGCCCAATTTGAATTTTGTATAGGGCGACGATAATCAACTCTAAACACTGAAGGGGGGGGTCCCTTCATTATCATCGGCATGCGGTTATACATCTACATCTACACCTACATCCACATCTACACCTACATCTACATATGCTGCGCTATGATATGCTATGCTAGGCTACGCTATTGTATGCGGTGCTGCGCTATGATATGGTATGCTATGGTATGATATGATGTGTGTTGCTGCGCTATGATTTGTTATGATATGGTATGATGTGCTGTGCTATGATATGTTTAGATGCGCGGTGATATGCTAAGCAATGCTATATTATGTTGCGCTATGTTATGATGTGTTATGCTATGATGAGCTATGATATGATGTGATATGATATGATTGACTATGATGTGCTATGCGATGTTGTGCGAATGCTGCGCTAAGCGAAGCTAAGGTAACGTAAGGCAAGGTATGCTATGCTAAGCTAAGCTAAACTAGGCTAGGCTAAGCCAAGCTAAGCTAATATAGTTCAAGCTGAACTACGCTAAGTTAAGCTAGGCTAGGCTAGGCTAGGCTAGGCAAGCCTTAAGCTAAGCTAAGCTAAGCTAATGTGAGATAAGCTAAGGTAAGCTAAGCTAGGCTAGGCTAGGCAAAGCTAAGCTGGGTGAGCCCAGGGGACGCAACTGGGGGAACCGCGGGGCGGATGCCGGGGGAACCGCCCGGGGCGGGGAACATTGCCCGGCCCTTGAAGCTGACCGAGTAAGAACCCTTCTAGGCAGAGCTTAGGTAGGGAAAAAATGGGCGCCCCCCAGCCATTTAGTTGTCGCGAATTTCTGTTCGTGCTTGTTCCGCACAAGATACGCAACACATAACCAGACATGTGAAACGCGCGCGCGCAGTATCGGCGGGCGCCTCGCATATTTCGGCCGCTCAATTTTTGCTTATTGCAAATGGGCGCGGGGATTGCGAATGCGTTTTTTTTTTTTTTTTTTGAATTGCTTGTGCGCTTCAATTGGGGGCACCTCGAACGCACTTCAACAAATCGCGGCCGCCCGGGGGCCGCGCCGATCGAGGCCCCGCGGCGATTGCGCCAGCGTCCTGTGCGGAGCCTGGGGGGGTTCCTTCGCCGCCCTGGGTCGCGGTGGCCATCTAGCAGCAATGTTGGGGGCCCTCGAATTTGCTGCCCGAGGCGCCGGCGCAATCGGCGCGGGCTGGGCCGGGCGCGAGCGGCGCCGTGGATTGGGGTCGCCGCGGGGGGTCGCGGCGCAGACGGCCAGAGGGGGAAAGGGGGTTAATTTGAGAGGGCGGCTGGCAGGATGAAGAGCGAGCGATGGGGGGGGATGGGGGGGGGCGCGATCGGAAGGGGTGGGGTGGGGGGGGGGCGAGGGGCAGAGCTCCGCGTCGTCGGCGGCAATGTGGGGGGCGTTCTTGCTGGTTCACTCTCGAGTCGCAGCGGCGGCGGCCGCGGCGGCCGCGCGGGCCGTGGCTGCGCGCCCTTGACGTCGTCGGCGCGCGGGGGCGCGCAGGACGTTTTGCCTTTCGGAATTCGCGCGATGATGGTACAGTAGCCATATCAGAGTTCTGGTCGCAGGAATGCCGGGTGGCCCGTGACCCTTTGCAGTGGCGAGTCGGCCTGTAGTTTTGCGCGGCCCGGGCCCGTCCCCGCTGGCTTTTCTCACTTCATCGCCTCGTCCCCCTCGCCCCGAGGGCCCGTTCTCAGCGGCCCCGTCGAGGCTGTTCTAGCCGCCGCCCCCATTCAAGATCTCGTCGTCCCCCCCCCGTCCTGTGCGCCCCCTTTTCGCCCGGTGTTATTCTCAGGGCGAAGTCGCGCGCCTGCCCCCTCCCCTCCTCCTCGCGCGCGGGTTTCATAGGCCCCGTCGTCGTTTCCCCGGCGACGTCGCCCCTGTCAGTGGCTGCGCTGCTGCTTCTGCCCCCTCATCAGCCTTCGCCGCGTCGCCGCCGCCGCTGCCGTCGCAGACGCGGCGTCGGCGGGGTTGCGGCGTCGACTCGCGAGCGAGGCGTTCGAGTTGTCCGGGGTGGATCGCCCCTGGGCGAGCGCGCGCAGTTGCGTTTCGCGCGCGCCGCGTGCCACTGCGCCAATCCAGCACGCGGTTTTTTCGCAATTACGCAGCGGATGCATATTTTCAGCTATTTTGCAGCATTCATGTCATTTTCACGTTTTCTTGGATTCCCAGGCTGTCCATGAGTGGCTGCCTTGCAGCGCGTGCCAGGGCTGGGGCAACACCGTGCTTCGGCAATTTCGTGGACCGTTTTCTTTCTGCTAGAGTTTTGCAGCAGAGGGATAACGAGAAGAACACGAAAACGGAAACCACGCTGTAGCTCGAGCCTTGGTGATGGACCCACACGGCGGGCGGGTGGCCTTACGGCGTGCCCCTTATCGCACCCTTCCCTGCCCCCATAGCGCTTGTTATCGCCGCGAGCGAAAACAGCTCTCCAAGGTTCCTCTGCAAAGGCCCTTCCCGCCTTCGCAGAGATCGTCCCGGGGGCCTCCGAGCCCTTGTAAGAAGGCCCATGCGTTCTCACCGGAGAAGCGTAAGACTCGAATTTGCTGGCCGCGGGTTTGTAAAGATCCTGGCGCACATTTCGAGGGTCTAATTGCAGCGAGCTGCTTCCATCGGGGTTCGGCCTCGAATGGCATACTAGGTCCTGTATTATGTTCGTTATGACGGCCCCGTCAGTCGAAACCATTTTCATATATCCGTGGCGAATTATGGAAGCCTCCCATGCCACCCTGTTGGTTCTGACGAACGGACGCGAATCGATACCAGTCGACGCCAATCCGGCGCTAATCGAAGTAAGCCGGCGCGATCTCATCGACCAGGCGCTAATCGACCCGAGCGCAAGTGAAAGACGGAATCGCGAAGGCACATGATGCTCCCATGACTTGCCACCGAAAGTCGGCGGCGAGCGAGGGGGGGAAGTGAAAAGGAAGAGGCCTTGTCAGAAGGCGTCGGGAGTTCTCAGAAGCTTTCGCGCCTTCTGGGAAGTGTTCTGCGCCTTCGGGGAAGGCGTGTAAACTTTTCGGGAGGACGGGGGACCTTCCGAACCTTTTGAGAAGGCCTTCGCTTTCTCACTTCCCCCCTGGCTCGCCGCCGAAAAAGGCCGCACCGCTCGAGTCTGAGCGTCTCCCCGTTCTTGGAGGGCCGCTCCCCCGGGCCCCCCTCCCCTGCGCGCCGCCGCCCATCAGCGTCGGCGCGAATGAGGAGGTTTTTGTCTGCCCGAACTACACCTACGGGGAGGAGATGCTCTGTTGCCCAGAGGTCGAGGCACAAAACATAACATTCCAGTGGAGGCACGCATCAAGAAGCCAGCTGCTTTCCGTCGGGGTACCGTGCGTTCCTTCGCTCCGCGCAGTGCGCGGGGGCTTCCCACGGCCGTGGAAGAAACGGCTGCGTTCAGGGTGTTCTGGGTTTCCACCCCGTTTCGAGCGTGGGCTTCTTGCGCGAGGCCCCCACATTGGGAGGCCGCCCCCTCCCCCTGGCGAGGCGAGGCAAGCATGGGTGGCGCGGAGGAGGGGGGAGATGGGAGAGACCTGCGGGCAAAACCGCCCAAGAGGCGCGGCAGAGAATCTGGCGGGCAGTGCCGTTGGGAGGCCCAGGTCCTCCCTCGGCACGCCCCCCCGGCACGCCCCCAATGTGGGGGCCTCGCGTACATGTGTTGCGCGAGGTTTCGAGCGTGGGTTTCTTGCGGGTGCTTCTTGCGGCGGCGTCCGCACGGTAACATTGAACCGTCGGAGTTCCGCGCGGATTTTTGTTGGATCGGCGCTGGACCCCCCTCCCCTGCGCGCTCCGCGCGCCAGGGGCGGCGCCAGAGGCGCCGACTGGGGTCTTTCGCGCCGAGCCGAGAAATCCACGCGGATCTCGGACAGCGCATGCTTATTATGTCGTGCTGTTTCCCGAAAAGGCGGTGTTGTTGAGGAAGCCGGCTCCAAAGTTGGGGCTGGAGAAGTATCTAACCTTGTGGATCTTGCTCGCGGTGGCCGTAGGCATGGCGCTTGGGCAGATCCCAGGCATCGATGACGTGCTCCACAAGCTGAAGCTTGGCAATACAAACATGCTCACAGCTGTCGGCATGGTCCTCATGCTGCTGCCGCCCTTCGCATCCGTCCGCTACAACGAATTTGTTCGGAGCATCTCTAAGGTACCCAAGCGGATTGCTTTCGGCAGCATCGTCATGAATTGGGTTGTCGGGCCCTTTTTGATGGGAGGGTTGGGCATCATGACTCTGAGCAACCAGCATGACTTGTTGGAAGGTGTGATCTTCATCGGCGCAGCGCGCTGCATCGCCATGGTGCTCGTATGGACTGCCCTCGCGGAGGGCGACTCTTTCTTGTGCGTGTCGCTGGTGCTGCTCAATTCAGCCATCTAAAACAATCAACGCACATCATGCATGCGTAAGGTTTGGGAGTTCGGGGCGAATTTCTTGGATCGGCGCTGAATCCCCCGATCGGCGCTGAATCCCCCGTATCCTGGCGTGCGCAGCGCGCCAAGGGAAGCGCCATGGGCGTCGCAAGAGTGTCGGATGGGTCAGCGCCGACCCACGAGATGCGCGCAGACCTCCGCAAGTGCATGTTCATGTGTTCTGGCTGTTTTACAATCACCGTTTTCACATACGCTCCGATGGTTACGCTATTGGCCAAGGTCTTCGGTATTCACAGCGGTGTAACCTTCATGACAGTCGTTAGCAACGTCGCCATTTACCTAGGCATCCCGCTTGTTCTTGGCGTGAGCATGT